AGAGAGAGCAGGCAGAGAGGGAGAGAAGAGGAAGAGGAAAAGGAAGAGTGAAAGAGTGGAAAGAGTGAAAGAAAAAGAGAGAGAGAGGGAGAGAGAGAAGGGGGGGGAGGGGCAGTCAGAAAACCCATATCTTTCTCACCTCCGACTCATGAATGGTTTCCCAAGTTCCATATTTCTCCTTCTTCTCGATGATGTACTTGGTGATGGGAGCGCCACCGGTGTCCTTGGGAGCTTCCCACTTGAGGTCGACGCGGTCCACGTCCCAGTCCACGATGTCAGGGATGCCGGGTTTGCCAGGGGGACCTGTGTCCAGACGATGAATTTAGTTTCCTAGTTCTGTTCACTGGCACTATTTTGATATGCCAGTGAAAGCAACGATAAATTCAAGTGGAATTACGCTTGCATAGTGTATCCTATCTCAGCTGACTTCCTAGGACTGCCGAGTCTCCCTTACCGTAAGGATCCTTGGCGAGGATGGCGTGGTCGGTCTCCAGGGGCTCGGACTCGCCCTCATCGTTGACGGCCTTCACGCGGAACATGTACTCCTTGCCCTCCTGCAGGCCGGGCACGTCCATGTCCAGGTCCTGCGAAGGATTGGGGAGTTCGGATGAAATGGAAGACGAAAGACACGTAAAAATATATAGTTTGATTCCGAATGAACAGTCATGGTACTTTATTATGTGATTTGAGAGACATGCGGGTATGTTTGGCTTGCCTTTGTGCGGCCAACGGGGACCCAGCGACCGGTGTTGGGGTCTTGCTTCTCAACCAGGTATTCCTGGATGGGCTTGCCACCGTCGTCGTCGGGCTTGTCCCACTTGAGCTTGCAACCCTTCTTGGTCACATCCGAGACCTTAAGTGGACCCTTGGGTTTTCCAGGACCAGCTGTGGTAGGGAAAAATAGGATAAATAGCATTTAAATAAATTAAACAATTGAGTAGATATGATAAGAAAGAGGGTTGTAAGTTAAACGTGGCAAATTAGATCCGTAGAGTTACTCACACAGAATGACGATCTCGACTTCGACCTCGTCTTTGCCGTGAATGTTCTCGGCGACGATCTTGTACATTCCGGTCTGCTTCCTCCTGGCGTCCACCATGCTGAACTTGCTGTTGTAGTCCACGTTCACGATCTCGATGTTCTGCTCCGTGATCTGTCGGGGGACATGGTAAGAGGTTTAAAGAAATTGTTTTCAGCTTTTTAAACTATATATCAATACTCGTGCTTATATATATATATATATATATATATATATATATATATATATATATATGTATATATATATAATATATATATATATATATATATATATATATATAATTATATATATATACACACACACACACACACATTCACACACATATATATGAATACCATTGTGCGTGTGTATTGTGCTTACCTCCTTGCCCTCGTAGTACCATTTGACGGTGGGCACAGGCTCACCCTCGATGTTGACGTCGAACTTGACGTTGCGAGTGGCCTTGGTGGTGGTCTGCTTCAAGTTGGTGCGGTCAATGCGTGGCTTCACTGTTTAGAAGGAGGCGTATGAGTGAATAAAAACGTTTATTTATTTACTTATTTATCTATTTTTAGTGACTGTGGCATTCGTAATCGTATTTCAAGGAAAATGTGAGAAGGTGAACGCGACGTTGGCAGGGAAGGATAACTTACGGGCCTTGTGCTTGACCAGGTGGTGGTCCGTCGGCTCAGACTCGGGGGAATTGCCCGCCTTGTTGACAGCAATCACCCTGAACTGGTACTCCGCACGGTACTTGAGGCCGCCCACCTTGGTCTCGACGGGCATGCCGGGCTTGAGGGGCTGACACACGTCCATCTTCACCTCAGCGGCTGCCTCCCAGTCGGGCATGAACCTGTGGCACGCATGGAATTGTCATTGCAGCTCTAACTGAACTATATCATAGGATGTTCAATCTAATGTTCAATAAATTAAATGTTCATGTTCAATCAATGAAAATAGATTGATAATAGATTAAAAGTTTGATTGAGATCATGCGGCATAACGAGCGAGGTACTCACTTATCCTTCTTCTGTACGATGTACTTGATGATGGGGGCGCCGCCGTCGGACTCTGGCACGGTCCATTTGAGGTCGACGGACTTGTTGTCATAGTCCGTGATCTCGGGGCGTCCAGGGGCCGAGGGAACGTCTGCGATAAAGACATATCACAATTAGCAGGCATATGACGACACCGTACCTGTGCTCACATATCGCAACTACGAGATGGGAATGCGTCCCTGCCCTCAAGGAAGAACTCACCGTAGGGATTCTTGGCGAGGATAGCCTGGTCGGCCTCCAGGGGCTCGGAGTCGCCCTCGTCGTTGACGGCGGTGACGCGGAACTTGTACTGGTGGCCGGGTTCGAGGCCCTCGACGTTGAAGTGCGGCGGCGCGGTGGCTCCGGGGCACTACGGGACAGACATGCTCAGAGGGGATCGCGACGCTCTCACGTGAGTAATTATCACGAGAAGAGATTATTAGTTCCCGAGATGGGCGCTGAGTAACTAAGATTGAAAGAATAGTAAAGGAGGAGAGATCGGCGAAAATAAATGAAAAACCACAAGCAGAAGAATGCGCTCGAGAAAAAGAAATGTCTAGTGTAAACCAGCGTGCGATGATGTCTAGTGTCAATCGGGCGAGTGAAGATTCTGAAAGTAACATCATTTTAAAGTTATTTTTTGTTTGTTTTACTTTAATTTATTTTAAGCGCGGTCTCTCTCGTACTGTTAAATAGGAAGGAGGTATTAAAGAGACGTTAACCCACCTTGCCACATCTGACCCACTTGCCAGTAGCCAGATCCATCTTCTCGATCTCGTACTCCTTGATCGGCATTCCTCCGTCGTCCTCGGGCTTCTCCCACTTCAGGCGACAGCCGGTGTCGTGCACGTTGGACACGTCCAGCGGACCCTTGGGCTTGGTGGGGCGACCTGCGGGCGCGAGAGAGGGCGTGAGCGGGAACAGCTGGTGTTTGATCACAAAGACAATGGCAGAAATCTATGGTGAACTGTTGGTGCCCTTCATAAACACCGTAACTGTACTAAGAGATAACACCTGTTACCGCAGTGTGCTTGCACCCATTGTTTGTGCTTATAGGGAAGGTCGGCTCCAAATCAAAAAGATCTCTAACCATGAGAAGCGAGGCAGCAGCGCCTCCGCTACTTACCGAGAACCACGAGCTCGACCGTCTCCTGGTCCTTGCCGTTGCGGTTCTCGATCTTGAGGGTGTAGAGGCCGGCGTCCTTCCTCTGGGCGTTGGAGATGGAGAACTCGGTGTGGTGGTCGGTGTTCTCGATGTGGATCTTGTCGCTGTTGGACAGGACGGTTTCCTTGTAGATCCATTCCACCTCGGGCTCGGGCTCGCCGATGTAGTCCACCGCCCACTTGTGGCTGCGACCCACCTTGATGGTGACCGACTTGAAGTTGGTGCGGTCGATGCGCGGCTTAACTGCAACGGGAAGGAAGGCGCTCACGTTGTGCTCTCTAAATACACTTTTGGACTTTACGGGGGAGCGTTATTATGCACCAAGTCTAACCTTATTTGTTCATGATGAAAATCACATGAGAAGCGAATGCCTACTTTCTCTGACATTTCAAGGCGTTATGCAAAAGGTGGGACGGGGAAGTCAAAGCACTTACGGTTCTTGTGCTTGCACAGGTGGTTCTCGGTGGGCTCAGAGGCCTCACCGACGCCAGCCTTGTTGGCAGCACGGACACGGAAGCTGTAGATAGTGCCCTCCTTCAGGTTCGGCACCGTGCACTCGCAGTTGGTGTCCGGCGTCTGCAGAACCTCCTTCCAATCCACGGAGAGCTTGTCCTTCATCTCGACGTGGTAGTGGGTGATGGGGCGGCCGCCGTCCTTCTCGGGGGGAGTCCACCGGAGCTGCACCGACTTGTTGTCGTAGTCGATGATCTCGGGCTTGCCGGGCCTGCTTGGCTCATCTGCGGCGCGGTGGAGGAGACGCGTTAGACAGGGATGGGGAGCATGTGCACACACACACACACACACACACACACACACACACACACACACACACACACACACACACACACACACACACATTCATATCCGTACATGTATAGCCATTTGTTTATGTCTACACTTCTTCAGGTCTTCCTCCGGCACCTACCGTAGGGGTTGCGAGCCGTGATGGGCTCGTCGTTCTCGAGGGGCTCAGACTCGCCCTCCTTGTTCACGGCCTTCACGCGGAACTTGTACTTCTTCTTCGGGGTCAGGCCGTCCACGGTGAACTCCTCCTTCTCGGGGCCGATCTGCGGGCGGGAGGGCAGGGGTCACTTGAGGTCACGGAAAGCATACCCGATAACACGAGGTCAATAGGAATTATTTTTATTCGGTCCGACTTAGACGGGGACCGTATTATCGTTGGGAACGAATGAGGGAACTTACTGTTGTAGCATATTGGGTTTATCGAAATGTGATCTTATAGAGTTTATGCAGGTTAAAGTTTAACTTCGTCGGATATATGATGTGCTGTCGAGTTATGATTTACTTCAATCTTATTGTTATTTAGTGTCTACTTATTACGAGTTAATTGGTATGCGAAGATGTTAATGAGTACTTGATACAGAACGCCTGAGTTAATTATTCACACCAGATACGGAGCACCGACTCTGGCAGGCTCTTCAAATGAATATCAACAATAAGTAGAACTACCGATACCAATACCAGTATCAATGCCAATACCAACAGCTGCTTCAACGTCAGTTTTTATTTTTACTCTGAATACCAAATACGCAGCACCAATAATACTTTGTCAATAAATAAAGAGAAAGCAACTCCCGACAACGAGAGGTGCAGGATAGAAGCGCCACGTCTAGAAAAGAATACCTGGACGTAAAACACGGCTTCCTGGGGCTCCTCGACCACCTTAAGGCCTTTGCTACCCTTGGAAGCCCCAGGATCCTTGCGCTCCGAGGCGTCCTTCGGTTCCTTTTCGCTCACAAAGCTCTGTGTGGCCGTGAGAGGAATGCTCGCGGGCCTGGCTATGTACTGTGGGAGGGAACACGACACGTTCACGCTACGTGCTGGGTGTGAAGGAGGGGGCGGGGGTGGGGGGCGGGCTTTTCCGTGTGAGGTGGGCGTCAGAGGGGCCAAGGAGAGGTACAGAGGTGTGGTATAATGGCTAAGAATAGGGAAGGAAAGTAGATGTCATGTTAAGTGTTTATTCCCCGTGTGAGGAAAGGTCGAGTATATCAGTACCTATATAGGCTCTTTGATATACCCGGAAAAATTCCTTTTGTTGCAAGAGAAGCTGTATGTGAGTAAGTGACAGAGACAAGGCGAATTATTTTGTACGAAGGTATTCTTTATCGTCTAAGTTGTTTCAGGAGATGAAGGAGACATCCTAAACACAGGGAGGGGAACTGTAGACGCCTTGTTGGTAGAAGGAGAGAACCTTAACGAACCGCGACTCACCTCTCCAGCGGGAACCCAAGTGCCGGTGTCCATGTCCATCTTCTCGATGACGTAACCCTCGATGGGCAGACCGCCATCATCCTTGGGCTTCTTCCACTTGAGCTTGACGTGGTCGGCGCGGATCTCCTCAGGGAAGAGAGGTCCCTCGGGGCGGTTGGGCTTGGCTGGTGAGGGGGAGGAGGCGCACTTATTATGCAGTTTATATGAGTTTGTGAGAGAGCATCAAGAATTGATGGTTTGGAGAGTAGAGTGGCTGGAGAATATGTTAAGTGGCTATAAAATTAGAGTGCTTTCAAGGTGAAGGTAGATTATAATGGCTTTGATATTAGAGTGACTCCAGAGGAAATAAAAGTGATTTTTGAAACAAAATGACGTGGTCACGCGCAACATAAGAATAATTTGGCATTTAATTTTCAAAGGCGAAAAAAGATCTGTAAGTATCCGAGATATAACCTCCACTGAACTTTAGTCTCCAAGATCTGAATCAACCTCAACACGACTTCGAAATATAGAAGAAACATCAGCAGGGAGAACAGAGCAGCACCTACCCAGGACAACGACGTCGGCCACCTCCTCGCACTCGCCGACGGAGTTCGAGAGGCACAGCTTGTACTTGGCGGTGTCGGAGCGAACGCCCTTCCTCAGGGTGAAGACGGTGTTGCGCTCATACTGCTCGATGGTGATCCTACCCGCATGGATAAATCGTTAGATGCTGTACTTTTGGATAAATTAGGGGGGGGGGGGAGTTGCATGATTTTGATGATTGTTTTTTTTCATTTCGGTGGATTCTGATCGAGGGAGGAACCTTTCGTTTTCTGTCTTTTTTTTTAAGGGGAGACTTCTGTCTTTTTACGTAGACGGAAGGCGTGTGATGTACTTCAGTATCGATAGATCTCTAAGAAGTATGGAGACAAAGAAGCTGATTTCTAAGGTGTGTGTATGCAAACAATGCTGGTCGTTGTATCAGACATGGACTTTAAACACACACGACAACAGGGAACAGTTCGAGATATAACTCCTCAGTAAACAAGAACGAACAAGAGGAAAAGTTTGATCATCTCTTGCATCAAACTATTCCTCTGCGTTTTTTAGACTCATTTGCTGTGGAATCATACCAAGAACCCCTTGGCAGAAGCTGTGATCTGGCCTAGCTAAGTGATGTGTTTAAAATAAATAAATAATAATAATGCAACAATACTGATTTCTAAATTAAACGTTTTTTTCTGTTTGGCAACTGAAGAAACAAAAACATGATTTACAATAGCCTGTTTGTACATACATGCAAAATCTTTCCTAACACATAATAATCAACATGCACAGCTGGCCGGGCACTAAGGCATCTCCATCTCATCTACAACTCCACCCTTGTTCAAGCTCCAAGCAGGCTACGGGGGCTGCAAGTGGTTAGCCTTGGGCACGCGGCTTCGGCCTAGGGCAGCCGGGCGGGACTGCCATAAACACAAAGCCACTGCGATCAATTCTCGCGCCAAGAGCTGAGCGAAGAACACGATAATACTTTCCGAGCAGAGAGCGGCAAAAAAGAAGAAGAAAGAGGAAATAGTAGGAAGCCTAAGCTTGAGCCACACTCCCTAATCGTGAGTTCTCAGGCCGGCCTCCCATGCACACGCGACTAGGAGCAGCTGTCACAATAAAACCTTCAATCAGCTGTTTATTTTTTCCTATTCTTGGAGAACGAAAGAGGTCGAAGTCTTTCCTTCTGTGTCATCACGACGGGGGTGATGAGGGCAGTGGGGCTAGCCTCATATATTTAGTCACTGATCTCATGATTGTGAGTGGAGGTAGAGGCGTTCTTACTCATAGTACACGCCCCTTTCCCTCACAATCTAAGGTGATCAAGACCCATCTATGAGAATAAGCACACCAAAGGCGTTCAGAATAGATATGCTGATCATTTTTAATGCGACACCTGTGTCTATTTATCCTTCTGATGACAAGAAAACAAAAAATCGTTGTTTTATAATCACAGAAAGTCAGTCAGAAACTACTGCATTGGTGGTTTGTTGTGTATCAGTCAAGATGGCAGGATAACTTTGATGAACTGATTAAAGAGTAATTTTAGAAAGAGCGTCACGTCACAAACCACCAGTGCCTGTTCTCAGTATTAGAACTACCGTCTCAAAGTCTGTTACGTGTAATCTGTCTCTAGTGTGCTTTATCGTGGAAAATATAGGAATAGTAAAAAAAAGGTTTAAAGGTGGTGAGACGTGTTAACCATTGTCAAAAAGCCAGAGTCTGAGAATTATTCGAGATAAAGGGTAAAAAAAAAAATTCTAAGACAGAATAAAAGCGAGAAGTTCTTCTCACAAGAACTTCGCCAACACCTATATGTAATGTACAAAAATAGAGGAATATCAGCACCTCAAATATATAGGCATCTATGATGGAAAAATGGGTATAACTGCTATCATGGGTGGTTTAAAAAATAGTTGTCACATTCAGATGACCCATTTATTTAAAAAAAGGGCCCCACCCGAAAAAAAACTCCAAAATGTCAAAAATCAGCTACGAGTGTTAGCTTTCCAGAAAAGAAAGGCTCGTATCACTTTTTATTCTGTCTTAGAAGAACCAGGTGCTTTCGGTCAAAGAACCAGAGGTTTTCGGTCACCTTCTACAGTTGTAAGGGTCTGGTAGCCTGGAAGGAAATGGTTTACGTATTTATCAATCAGTCACATGAGAGAGCATAGTCTACTGTACTTAAAAGTCAAGTTAAAATGAGGTTTATACAGGAAGGTCATTTAGCAAAGGTCAGAGTCTACTCGGGTACTGAACGGCACCCGGAGAGTCCACCCTGTAATGTCCATCCTGTTATAAATTGTTCTTTGTGGATTATGTCTCTTTTCTCTTTTAAGTTTTGGGAAGAATTTATGTTATAATTAAAGCATTTATATTTCCATGGCTTTGATACAATATAACAGTGTAATAACAGTCTATGATTTTTTTCGGGTTCATATTGTTTTTACGCGATCATATTTTCGTGGGATAGATCACACTCCAGCTTACCTATTTCATGACTTCTTATTTTTAGCTGTACCTTCAATTCCCGATTCTCTTACTCGTTCTTTCATCCACATGTCTATTCTTCAATTAACTGGTTCTCCTTCATTTCAGTCACACTTATATTACGATTTTTAAACATTTCAGAGTTTAGCATAACCTTAAATGGTATCAGTCATATTCCCCTTAACTGCAGTTTGACACAAGATTCAGCCATTAAACAACAGAGAACGACCTTCTTCACACACTCTCCCTAATCCTGCGTCCTTCTTCACATACCCTTTCTACCCCAGCATCATTTTTGTCCATTCTTTCTTATCCCCCTCTTTATCCCCTCCTCCCTCTTCTCCCCGACCCGAGGGCACTCACCTTTCCTCTTCGTCTGGAATGACCTCCTTGTCGTCCTTCTTCCAGATGGCCTTTGGCTCGGGTTCACCACCGTACTTGATGTCCAACTTGAACAGCTGGCTCTTCTTGATCACGATGTTCTTGAATTCCTCCTTGTTCTTGACGTATGGCTTCACTGTTGGTGGGGCGAGGACGCGAGGTAAGAATGGGGATGCGTTTCAGAAAGAATTTGTGTAAATGTGTCGGGCTGTAGATTGCTATATATCTTAACCACTCATGAAAAAGAATCGTATTATGGATGGAATGGGTACAAAATCAACAGAGAAAGAGAGGAAGTACTATCCATACTAAAAAAAATACAGTGAGAAAGAAAGATGGAAAAGAAAAGGGCGTGAAAAGGAAGAAGAAAATAATCAGAAGAACGGGGAAAAATCTTACCGAAACGGTTCTTAGCCTGAATAGGCTTGGTTGGGTCGGAAGGTTCACCGGGACCTGCCTTGTTGACAGCCCTGACGCGGAACTCGTACTGGTTACCCTCCTTCAGGTTGGGAATGGTGCCCTCCGTCACGTCTCCCTGGATCTCGATACCCTTGCTCCAGTCGCTGAAGCGGTCCTGAAGGGGGCGGCGCCGAAGGAAAAGGCGTTAGAGCGAGAAGTAAAAGAAGGAGCAAGGGAAACCGAGCCAGTTTCCAGCGCGTTCGAAAGCTTGAATACGTTTAAGATTATTACTCGAAGTGTTGGGATAAACTGAGTTTTTTTCTATTCTTTCGTAAATTTTGGATAATGAACTAGAAATATGTATTTAAGATAAAATTAGTAAGATATCGACAATGTGATTTGATTCAATAACTGAATATCTATGTTTTGTTAATTATCGACGTGATGAAAGTACATTTTATTTACGGAGAGAGAGAAATCCATTATTTAAGAGACAAAATGATAAATAAGAGAGAAAGAGTAGCCAAAGACTGAATTACTGATAAAACTGCCAACCCTTTATCGATCAAGCCTATTTGGAATCAGTGTTAGAAGCGAAACTCCAAACTTTTTGCTGTATTTTACAAATTCGTTTTCATCATTATGATTTGTGTGTTTTATAGAAAAATGCTTGTGTGCATCTTTGGAGAGTCGTTGTTTAATGTCTTGGTTTAGATTATTTAAAGGTTATAGCCTCATTTTATTTAGATAAATCAACTTTGTGATTAAAATAGATACTTTGTGGAAGGCTAAGTGTTAAGTCTAATGTTAATTATATTAGCGTATTAAAGCGTATAGGTATATACTAGATAGACTTGAATTTGTGACTGTAAATATACCAAATGTGTTTAAAGGAGAGATACAGTATATACTGTAGATCTGTATCGCAAAATAAACAAAAGCATGTTTGTTTGTTTTTCCGCATACAGATCGGTAGCTGAGCATCACAGGCTGCTACGAGCTACAGAAGCAGGCTTTGCGGCTTCTGTGGCGATGTCGCGACTTTCACTTTAATAGAATATGCCCGGGGAGATTCAACTTACCATTACAAGGCACTGGATCGTCTTAGTACTGTTTTTTAATGGGTTCTTAAAGCGGTTTGGTGGGTTTAATGGTTTAATGGGCCGTTTATATTTCCGAATCTCCGGGCTATATTTCACAGAAAGCGAAAGAACGCACTGGCGCTACACATACTAAATCCAGTTGGAGCCTTACCACCTCCCCGCCTTCTGGCATGGCGCGAGTCTGTAGATAACGGTAAACATGTTCGTAACATGTTATGGGAACACGTGGATCTCAGGCACACAACAACAATAACAAACAGGAGGCTCCTCACTTGATCGAATTCGTTGTGAAGATTTATATTTACCTAAATGTAATCTGAGCACTCTAGATGCTACGAATCATTGAATTAAGAAAGGGCTTTACTGGTCATTGACTAACTATATACAGATCAAGTGAGAAGCTCCAGGATTGCTTCGAAGGTAGGCAATCCAGCTGAGACAAGAAATTAGGATTATGTATATTGTTGTGTCTCTGGGCAAGTTCAAGGAAGACAAAGAATTAAAACTGGTGACAGACATTTTTAGGGCAGGACAAGACGATAGACAATATCCACTGTATTGCGGTTATGTCATGTATTTGATATATAAGTAAGATATGCAAATCAGTTATAAGTATATGAGACAAGATATTTGATTTGTTACATCAGATGGTCAATACAATGTTGAGAATTATTATACTGAGTGTGATTCAGTATTTGAACAATATTGTGGTCGTGATTATGTAATATATGTTACAAAATGAAATGACTGGACGTATATAAGACAACAAAGATAAGGGGCAAGGATTAATAAAAAAAAAATGTAAGGGTCTGGTACGAAAATAAAAGTGAAATTTTTGGTACAAGAAATTCGGACAAAAAAGGTCTGGTTTGAAAAAAAAAAAAAAAAAAATCAAAAGGAGGTAAGGAGATGTCAGTTCATTTTCACGACTGGTTAGGCAGAGCGTCCCTCCGCTGCCCTTCCAAATCGATGAAATCATATAAAACCAAAATGGGGTAAGGAAAAAAAATCCAAACAAAATATAAAGTGCTAAAAATGGGAATTCTAGGAAAATCACCCAGATGAAAGGGAATTCTGTATATATATATATATATATATATATATATATATTATATATATATATATATATATATATATATATATATGTTATATATATATACATATATATATATATATATATATATATATAATATATATATATATATATATATATATATATATATATATATACATATACATATACATATACATATACATATACATACATACATACATACATATATATATATATATATATATATATATATATATATATATATACACACATGTATATATATATATACATATAATATATATATATGTATATATATATGTATATATATATATATATATATATGTATATATATGTATATAATATATATATAATGTATATATATATATATATATATATATATATATATATATATATATATATATATATATATATATTATAATATATATGAAAAAGGAAAAATTCTTCAGGAAAAAAAAATAGGACATAAAAATACCAAACTAAAATCAACTTAAAAGAAAACGAGTCAACTAAAAAGAAAATGGGATCCAGCAGTGACGTCACGGGGAACGTACCCTGAACTCGATGACGTAGCCAGTGATGGGCGAACCGCCGTCGGTCTCGGGCTTGGACCAGCGCAGGTCGGCGTGCTCGGGGCCCCAGTCGTTCACCTCGACGTGCATGATCTTTCCGGGTTCATCTGCATGGCGAAGGTGGTTAGGATGATGCTAATGGTAGCAACACTTAATGGTAATGGGGATAACGATGTAATAAACCATTATTATTGTTATCGCCACAGTTATCCTTTTTCAGGTATAAGTGCACAAATAACTATAATTCAATCGTTCTTGGCGAATCGATCGAATTTCTTCCACCGGAAAGTGTCCTTCACACACCGGACTCTCTTTTCCCCGCCAACAAAGGTCACTAAGGCCCAACTCACCCCAAGGATCCTTAGCCAAGATGACCTTCGGGTAGACGGCAGGATCCGAAGCTCCGAGTTTGTTGCTGGCAATGACTCGGAACTTGTACTGCTTCTTGTTTTCGAGGTCCTCCATCTTGAAGCGAAGGGGCTCGTCGGCGGGGATCTCCGTGACCTGGGCCCATCCTCCTGTGCGAGGTCACGAGGTCAAGGAGATTAGATTTCGCAAGGATGAAGAAGGGGGGGGGGCGTTTGTTGGAATTCTGAGTGTGTGTTGATCAAGAGGTTCGTTAGCGTGGTGCGTGTGTTTCGATTTAGAAAAAAAATACTTTTTCTGTTTTCTACAGTGAAGCGAAGTGTATAGCGCTTGGGATTCTACGTTAGATACGCGTCTCTTGTTCGCTGTACAAGCATACATACGTGAGAGCGAGTGTTGCGCGTGGTATGCGAAATCGGAACGTAATCATTTCTTGCACAAGAATGATTTTAATGTTCCTCCTCAAATTTGCTTTCTGAACATCTACGTTTCCGCCGGCCTTTTCAGCGCGTGTGGTGTAGAAGCAGTCAGTAAAAAGCCCTCTTATGAAGTGTTTGATATCATGTCCTTTTTAGAAGAGTCTTTATCCTATAATCAGCACAGGAATAAGAAAGAAGATCTTAAATGTCGACTAACTCAACAAAGAAGAAAGGTCAGATCGTCTTCAGACATTGTTAAAGAATGTCTCTGGTCGTAGAGAATAGTAAAGAATCTATAAGTCGATAGTGAGTTTACTTAGACCTACATGAAACATGTAAGAGAAAGGTTCTCCTCTGATACACTTGTCATCTAGTTGTGATTAATATTATACTAACTTGCTAGTATTCTCTATGGATGTGTTATTGGCTATGACTACATCAAAGGAAAATCCCAGATATAAATTTATTGAACATATGTATTCTTGACCTGAGCATGTCAACTGCAATTGTTGAGTAATATTTGAGAAATGTTAAAGTTGTCTCTGTAGATAAGCATGAACGCGTTAGTATCAAGAGGTCAGACCATCAGATCAGATATATATCATAGTTACATGTTACCGCTCAAGTCTTGTTATCATTAGAATGCAATTAAAAGTCCCATAAGTGAATTGGTTATCGCAAGTGAAATTGAAAATTGAAAGACAGTGTAAGACAAGTAGACTTCTGTACTATGTCTTGTCCGAGTCAGGTTCCAGGGACTTTTCATGTGCATCTGCGAGCGACCAAATGCACAAAGAGGACTACAAAATCTGTAGTAATTCTTAAATCTAAATGAGCTTAGTATGGTTCAACTTGTAAATATGGAAAAAATAAGTGATATTCCTTAGAGAAAGTGTGCATGCGGTCGCTAGCAAAATGACTGTCTTACTGTTCTCACTTTTGTGTGAAGCATAACTTATTCAAGTGTAAGGAAAAAAACCCTGTGCTTTTGCGTGATGTTTTAGAGAAAAATAAGATCGTTGGTCAAACATGAAGTGAATTTTATGTCCATGGTTTAATGGCTATGTTGAGACGAAAGCCACATCGATTTATGAGGTTAGAGTCGTTCTTGTATCCATTTATATATCCATATGTAAATGAGATACAACGTTTATCCGTCATGTATGAAGTAAAACATGTGCTCCCGTTCCAGATGGAGGCCGAACGCGCGGGGTTCGGGCGGAGCAATGCTTGTACTCTCACCATGGTCTCAAGCAGTCATGCGTGTGTGTTCGCTGGGGGGGGGGAGGGTGTGTCAAGTCGGGGGTGTTTCACGTTCATGGCTCGTCCTGTATCGAGCAAGTGCAAAAATCTAAGTAAGTATTGGTATGGGATATATATATATATATATATATATATATATATATATATATATATATATATATATATATATATATATATATATATATATATATATATATATATACATATATATACATATATATATATATACATATATATACATATATACATATATATACATATATACATATATATATATATATATATATATATATATATATATATATATATATATATATATATATATATATATATATATATATATAATGTATATATATATGTATATATATATGTATATATATAATATATATATATATATATATATATATATATATATATATATATATATATATATATATATATATATATATATATGAAATAGTAAGTGTATTAGTGTCATAATTTATTCAAAAATTGGGTTTGTATATAGAAGCAAAAACAAAACGTTATGCATAAAAAGACGTCAGCATATATGCGTTATGTTCCCACACTGAGCATCGGTTCTTCATGCAAGCGTATTTTTTCGCAAAAATATCCATATCTATTATCAGGTTCGATCAGTAATGAGAACTACTAAATGATTAAAAGAAAAAATAGTTTGCTTATGCGTTGACTACAAAGCTACAAAAGTTATGAGATGCCAATTCAAGAAAAAAATAGTATAAAAAAAATGTTATGGATCTAATAATTTTCACGCTATTTCTTCTACAGCATTAAAGTTATATTATTAATAAAAAAACACAGTTGGACGTTCATACATTAAAACTAAGAGACTATTTGATGATTTACGAATGTTGGTATATTGATGAGAAGAAAAAATATGATGATTTAGAGAGAAAAGAATGTCATTAAGAAATATAGTTTCCGGTTTATGTAAACTAATAAAGACGTTTGTTTATTTAACGCGCGGTACAAACTTCACGGTACAAACTTCTTATTTTGTTTTGTATTTTTTGGGGGAGGAAAGACGTTTTATTTAAACTCGCTCCATATTATTTAAAGTGGAAAATCGTCTTGGCTGCTGGCCTGTTGATTTAAATCTTGCTGAAAAGAGTTTAAGATGTTTAATCGTCTGTTGCCGTCTTCAGAGCGCCGCAGCGAGAGGAGTGTGGAAAAGAAAGAAAAGAAAAGAAAAAAAATGAATACGATAACTTTAAAACTGAGACTTAAGAAGGTTGGCGTAAATAACTCCATACATCAAGAGTAAACCCGACATATAGCTATTACGAGAATTATATATATAGCAATGATTGAATAAATACCCTTGACTAGAATTCACGCGTGGATTCCTTACTACAAGGAACAAAACCTCCAGAAAATTGGCTCGGCTAATTTCCCCAAACCACTCCTGATCTCCCTCGCGGCGCAGTGACGAGGCAACAACCAAGGTCTATGTATAAGGTTGCGACTCAGGCCACAGCACTTGCAGTGGGTTAGTGTATACACTGTACCTGTTCGTTCCCAGATATGCGGATGTGATGCTGTTGGGAGAGGAAATAGAATGTAAGCAAAGTGAGTTTAGGAGCTCACTTAAAGATAGGCCTATCAGGAATATGGATTTTTTTTTTTTTTTTTTTTTTTGAGGAATAAAGGATATAGGTTTGGCGGATGGGGGATTCGGGTCGTAAGAGGATTGGATACTCTAAAATGGAGATCATTTTTTCCCCTTGCTGATTCAAGACAGTTCTTGAGTCAGCTATTACTCTGAAGTCCAAAGAGAATACGACAAAATCTGTTCACCTAATCAGTCATATTTGTAGCAGATTTTTTGTAAAGGGTCTAATCAGTTCCAATTCTTTTATGTAGATATCACCAACTCTGCTGCTACAAATACTGATTATAGGTTTTATTCTACATGCTACTGTCTATTATCCATATATTTAAAACGATCTCTCGTAGACTTTGACTGGTCTTTTGATATCGTGCAAAGAGTTAAAAGTCTGAATTTACAGATCTAAAGCTTGACCAACCAAAGATGTAAATAAATGGATAATATATTTTTTCTCGCATCGCCTTCCTTGCTGTACACAGGGGCGGCCTTGGAGCAAAATGTAATATAAAAGTCACTATTCTGAGAAGGCTTATTCTGTTTCCAAATCCTGACTTACAACAGTGTCATTATACTGTTGTCTTTCAAAAAGAAAAAAAAAATGTATGATGAAATGATAAAATCCGTTGATTGATTTACTCAAAATGACTACATATAATTTCCAAAAAATAGTTTTTGGGAAATAAAATCATGCTAAACCTATATTTGAAAAAAAAAACATAAATATATTGAAATGAAAAAAAGAAAAAAAAATCAGCTAAGAACTACACTATGAAACAAAGCAATACTCAAGACACAAAGAAACGATTGCACCAGACAGAGCAAAACAACTTTGCAATGGCAACACAGAAACCCCAGACCACTTTCGCCAACAGAATAAAAACCTAAAACACAACTACGGACTTCGAATTCATAAACAACACAAGAAAACTACAGATAGACACCCAGTAACAAACACTGATCATCTACGTAAACCTCCTCTTCCGCTTCCTTCCTCCCTCGGGTCCCCCTGTCCGTCACACTCACCCTTGACGGAGAAGTCCTGGCGCTCCACCGTGTAGTAGGTGAGGGGCATTCCACCGTCGTCCTTGGGAGGCTTGAAGGTCAGCACGCAGGAGGTGCTGAAGACCTCGGACACCTGCGAAGAAGGGGCGGTGAGGGGGGAGATACAGGGAGGGCGTGGAAAGGGAAATGGGACTTCAACACTGATATGTCTTGTGCGTTTGTCTGCACGCGGTCCCAAACAGACACAGAAACAGATACAGCCACAGATACACGCACACGCACACACACACAGATACACACACACAGACACACACACACACACACACACACACACCTTTATAAGTTTCGAATACTGTGCCGATACTTAAAGCTGACATACTGGAATGGTTTCCCTCCCTATTATGGTTATACTGCAGAGCATTCAGCGACCAGTAACGACAAACAGATCCCGCGTTTTGCCTAACGAAGCCACCCACTCTCCGACTCATCCGGACACGCTCGCCGCTCACCTCGATCTCCGTGGGCGGGCTTGGGCGGTCCTGCATGTTGATCTTGACCTCCTTGCTGCTCTCGCCAGCCTTGTTGGACATCTTGATGGTGTACTTGCCGGACTGGTCCCTAGAGGGCTTCTTGATGGTGTAGGTGACCTTCTTGTCCTGAATATTGACCTCGACTTCCTTTATGGGGATGGGCTTGCCTCCCCTCAGCAGCTTGGCGTCGACCTTAGAGATCCTTGCGCCGGGCACTGGGAGGAGGAGGAGGAGGAGGAGGGGGGGTGTTAGACTGAGGGGTGAAGTGTAAGTTCCCTTGGGTGCTAAACGGCTGATTTTATAATCTTAGCTTTTAAAGAGTATAATCCAGTACTTCTAATGGGTGAGATTGTTGTACAGTGATGCTGATTTCATGATCTTGGCTTTTAAAGTATATCATCCAGTGCTTTTAATGGATGAGTTGTACAGTGACTCCTTTCTTCATTATTCTTCTTATTCAGTCACGTATTTCCTTCATGTTCCTCGCTATTACCCTCATCTCCCCCATAAAAAAAAAAAAAAATAAAAAACATAATCCTCATAGTTCTCTGAATCACTCACCTGTGTAAGGAACGTCGAAGACCAGAGGCTTGGTGACGGGGCCTTCGATGGGTTCTTCGGGCTTGATGCTGGGTGGCTTCTCGCCCTCGCCCACGCTCAGCTGGCACGAGCATTCCAGGGACCCGCACACCACCTGGGGATTGAGGGGGACGCCATGACACAGGGGGCATTGCTACGGGCTTGATGCTTCGAGATACGGGATAGGTACTGAAGGAGCAAAGTTTGAGGCAAGGAAGCTTTATTTATCTCAAGGAGAAGAGAAAGAAGAGCGAGGACAAGCCGTTCGCCTCACCTTGATTTCACCCTCGTGTTCGCCGGCGCACTCCTTGATGATGAGTCTGTGGATGCCGCGGTCCTTCTTGATCTCGAAGATGTCCGAGTTCTCGACCTCCTTGCCGTTCACGAACCACTGGATCGGGGCGTTCGGGTCGACCAGCTCGCACTCGAAGTGGGCGGGCTGGCGCTCGAACGAGGTCACGTCCTGCAGCTTCTTCTTGAACTTATTTTCATCTGTCGGAGGGAAGAGCTTTGGCGTTATCTATCCGACTCCGAGATCGCGTACGTGCGGTGGACATTCATTTATTCATTGTTGTTTTTTTTGCGGATTGAATTGGAAACAAATACGAAAATAATATTCCTTTTCTCCTGTTACTTTTTTTCGTCGCACAGAGTTACTCAAAAGGCGGAATTCCAGCAATACTCACACTGAACGATGACTTCGCACGTGGTCTCGTCAGCGTTCGTCTTGCAGGTGTAGAAGCCAGCGTTGGACATCTGGATGCTCTTGAAGACGAGCTGCCTCTTCCTGCCGTCCTTCATGATCTTGGCGCTGAGGGTGAGGGGGACATTAGCCTTGAGTTAGGACTTCGAGGCCGAGTGGGAGCGAGAGCCTCCCACCTGCCACGTAAGCGCCTCCGCCTCCACCTCCGAGAATGGTGTGACATTGCGAAACAACAATATGTCTTTAAACCTCACAAAGTTTGCAAAATCGTGTAGGAAATATTATACAAAAAATCATGGTAAATTATAATGAAAACCTTCAAACCATTTCCTCACACATGAAGGTGCGTGCTCAAGTACTTTTCTTTTTTTTTTTTTTTTGGAAACTACTCTCTATGTGCCACATCCACCACAGTTGCTGGTGTGAGGCTCAGGCCGCGGTACATACGAGCTGGATACCGTTCCTCCTTGAACTTGAAACAAAGAGCTCACAATGGAGAGCCAAGGGAAGTGTCACACAAGGAAAATCTATAACATAAAGTAACTTCAGAAACCGATAAATCTCTCGACTCAGGCATCGAAGACAAGGCAAAAGAAGAACAGCTGTGTGTATCGCGGCCTGGGGTTCTGTACAGACTACTGGCAGGTCTAGATGCTGATGCGTCAAGCTGTCATCTCTATTTGCCACTTGACGTGGTCAGACGCTCGCAAACGTAAGCTTAAAAGCAGCAGCGGTATGCTAGTAGAGAGGGGATGGTGCCAGTGTGGTTTAGCTTCTTCAGATATAGGGAATGATATTCTTGATTTATTATTCAATTTATGTTGTTGTCTGAATTACTTCCTGCTTACCCATCGCTTCATTAAACGTTTATTTACACACGTATATAGAATAATCACCAACTTGGATTTTTATAACATTTTATTATAATATAAATGAAGTAGTGGCAGCGGTCGCCAGGTTGGCCAGGGCCAAGTCATTTCATTAAGTCCCGGAAATCTGTAGGTGTGAGCGGAAACAAACATTGTCACAAATGCCAAGGCCACGTTATTCATTCGTGACTTTGCACATGAATTACCTGTCTGACTGCAGATAATCACAGAAGCGAGACCTGTGAGAGGGCAACACTGCATCAACACAGAGAAAAACGGGTGGTTTGATTTGGAAGAAAAAGAGAGAAAAGTGTCTTTAATCAACGGGGTTTCTACAGGGAGACAAAGAAAGGAGGAAAGACAGAGAGAAAAAGAAAGTGATAAAAAACCAGTGGAAGAGGAATTCTTACCTATTCCTATTCTGACTCATAAGTGACACGTAGGATTACTTTAGGGAGGAAAGGTGATTGTTATTTGACAAAAACGTAGATTCGACTTGTTATGTCACTTTTACAAAATACAGGATAGTTCAAAGAAGAGGCAAGTGTCATAAACGTAGAGAAGAAGACAGGAAAGGCAAGAATTGAACGAGGAGGACATTCGATTACAATAAAAAAAAAAAGGAAATGGATAGAAAAGAGAAGGATTCAACAATGACTGAATTCAAAAAGAAAGAAAAGAGAGTGAAAGAGTAAGAGACAATACTGTATCTGCAAGCTAGTTCAGTATATCAATACAATCAAGACAAAAAACCATGGCAAGCTGTATACATCACATGAATCAAGGGGACTTCGGTGGCTTGAAGAGAACATACAGTGTGGGGAAGATGACTGATCACAACATTATAAAAGAGTTTGGTCTACGGGGGCGTGTGTGTTGGGGGGACAAGTCACAGCAACTCCAAGAGGCTCCAAGACCTTACCCTGAGTCGGACTCGAGCTTCTTCTCGCCGGCGAACCACTCGACGGTAGCTTCGGCCTCGTCGACCTCGCACTCCAGGACGACCTTGTTGTTCTCGGTCACGGTCATCGACCTCAGCTGCTTTGTGAACTTGAACGGTTGATCTGGGGAAGTGACGAGGATAAGCAATGATATCCAAACAGTGTTATTTTTTTAAAGGACTTCAGAGGTTTCAGTTTACATACTTCAGAACTCGTCATCTGGAACTGCAGTCGATTTACAGTATGAGTAACATTATCAGTATTATTACAGACCGCAATCATTGATATCTTTATTCTTCTTATTATTATTATTAATTTCACGATCATTATCATTATTGTTATTAGTACTTCCGTCATCATTATCATTATTGTAATAATAATGTAATATCGTTTTCATTATTGACATTGTTTTTGCTATCATCCTCAGTGACCTTGACCCACTCACCGACAATGTTGAGGTTGCACTCGCAGGACTCCTTCTCAACCCTGAAGATCTTGGCCGTGTACTTGCCCTTGTCCTTCTTGGAGGCCTTCTTGATGGTCAGACGCACCGTGCCCGTCATGTCCTTGTACGTCTCGTATTTTTCGTTTTCCTGGAACATGAAGGTCAGAGTCAAGGTCAAAGATGATCGAAGAAGAAGAAGAAGAAGGAAAGAAGAAAAAAGAGAAGACACCCAAGAAGAAAAAAAAGAAAGACAGAAAACCCTACGATATATCCCCCCCTCAAAAAAGTTAAGAATCCATACCAAAATAATAATAAGTTATTAATAAGATATAATAACATTACAATATAAATAAGTTAAGAATCCGCACCAAAATAATAATGTTATAAATAAGACAACAATATAATAACAATACACTATAAACAAGTCCAGAATCCACAGCAGAGAGCGCAAGGCCTCACCTCAATCTTCTGGTCTCCTCTGAACCAGTGGACGATGGCCTTGTGGGAGTTGACGACAGCCTCCAGAACGGCGTCCTTGCCCGTGTAGCTCGAGGACTTCTTCGGCAGAGGCTTCGTGAACTTGAAGTCGGGGTCGGGTTCTGAGAGCGGAGGGGAGAGGGGGGGAGGGGGGAGGTTTATTATTGATTTCGAGTTTATTGATCAAGTTCAGATTTCGGGAGATATGTAGATATAGTGGATATATTGGGAGAAAAATTGGAGAGAGAGAGAGAGAGAGAGAGAGAGAGAGAGAGAGAGAGAGAGAGAGAGAGAGAGAGAGAGAGAGAGAGAGAGAGAGAGAGAGAGAGAGAGAGAGAGAGTTATATTATATATATATATATATATATATATATATATATATATATATATATATATATATATATATATATATATATATTATCCAGAGATAGATAGATAGATAAAGAGATAGATAGATAGAGCCCAGAAACCGGAGCCAAGCGCAGACACTGACCCTGCACGGTGAGGATGGCCGAGCAGGAGATGCCCATGCACTCCACGGTGTATTTGCCCATGTCGTCCATGGTGGGCCTGCTGATGGTGATGCCGTGCACGCAGCCCTCGGCCTTGAACTTGTACTTGGAGCCGGGGAACAGTTCCTGCGGATCGGGCGAAGGGCGTCATGCGAAGGACGGGACAGTTTGTTCAAGTAATATGGCGGATGAATAAACAGATGAATAACTTTAGGAAGAATATGGCAGTTTGTGGTGACAAAGAGAACGCGGTACTCACATCCTTCTTGAAGAACCACTTGGCCTTTGAGTCCTTCTTGGAGAACTCGCCCTCGAACTTGGCGGTCTTGTCCTTGCCCTCTTTGACGGTGAGGTCGACCAGGGGCTTGACCCAAGACTCGACCTTCTGCTCGCAGGTGGGGGAGGGAGGGGAGAGAAAGGAGGATGAGCAAGGGACTTGGAGGCGGCGCGAATCTCAGGCTCTCCGACTCGGACTCACAAGCGAATTTAGTTCAGCGAATTGAATCTTGAATCATAGGAAAACAAATTCTCTCTCTCTCTCTCTCTCTCTCTCTCTCTCTCTCTCTCTCTCTCTCTCTCTCTCTCTCTCTCTCTCTCTCTCTCTCTCTCTCTCTCACTCACAAAATGATACTGAAACGTTTGCATAATATTTATAATTTTTTGTCAGTCGTGAGAAGGAAGTCTGTTATTCAGCCTTTTGTCAAATTCGATTTTTTAAAATGAAGCGAATCTCTCTTCTTTTTTTTTTTTTTTTTTTTTTAGTTATGAAAGAACATTAACATTTATTAACCAAGAGGTCTTGCCAGCTTGCATCTCTAATAACAAAGTCCCCTCCAAATTATACAAAAGACAATGATATCAGTAAAAACAGTGATTTCAAGACCAGCTGAAACAGAAGACAATCTATAACTGGAAGATGATCTGAATACTTTATTGAGCATCAGGCAACAATCACATGTACAAAGAAATATGATAAAAAATAAAGATAAATTGATCCCAACTCTATGGGTCACAGAGAATCACGCTGTGACTCAACCTGTGTGTATAAAAACAGTTTAGGATTAATTCACATCTAGAGACGACATGCGGACGTGCAGAAATAAACGAGTGGTCGACAGGTCCCCGGATTGGGAACAGCGCGCGGGCCAGGTGTAATTTGCCCATCAGAATTATACACATGAGAATATAGATCATAGATATATAAACATGCATCCATGCCTTATTGTTTAGACCATGCCTGCATCCGGCCACGTCTAGAAAATGGAGAAACTGAAAGAGTAATGGCGGTTGAGGTACGATGCTCTTTCTTTTGGCCTCATGGCACAGATTTCTTCCTTCTACGCGTCTTATGCATTGCCGTCAAGATGCGTTCAGGTTTTACGACACTGAGGTTGCGTGCATGTGCAAAAGAAAAAGCATTTCACATATATCCATTCTGAATATAAATGATACATCTTTAAGAGTCATGCAGAATATACTTTTAACCAAGGTTTGGGTTTTGTCTTTTATGAAGAGAAGATTTAGAGAGTGACTTAAATCGCGGCGGTTTATTGAGGTAAAGAATGCGATTTTTTGATAATTATTTATTATTTTTTCAGTTCGGGTTAATTTGATATCGTTTTGTGTTGAATTTGGGCCGTTTTAATATTTATGATTATGAATATGACAGGTTATATGAATTAAGACGTGGTTACATCAAATTTTAAAATTTTGATTTTTTAATGCTGTTGTACCATCCTAATTCCATCAGTATGTTCTAAATACCTTCAGATTTAAAGTTATATGTAAATTAAGAATAATTATGATGGAATAGTGGCGGAAATATTAACGGTATAGCTAGTTGGTACTTCTAGCCACGAAATAGACCAAATAGATCAACGTTGCAGCGTGCCAAACCTCGACACACTCGTCAAACCTCATTCCAGTGTTGGAGCTTTGGCCAATCAGGAATAAGATCTGCTAATGACACTCTACGAAGATTGTCAGTCTCCTGAGGGCGTAGGAGGAGAGAAGACCACGTCAGTGTGCTGAGGGCGGAGAGAGCGGCGGAGGCGGTGGGTGTGGCTGCGGAGGTCACGTGGTCACTCCACAAGCGAGTTAGCAAATCACAAACCTCGAAATGTGTTTGGGTCGGGGTGGGAGGGGCAAGGCGAGCCAATCACTGATCAAAGGGGCGAGCCGGAAGTGAAGAGGGGGAGGAGTTTGTTGGTCAAGGGGGTGGGGCTTAACCAAAAGGGGGATGCGTCTTGTCTGATGCTTTTCCTCTCAGTGACTTTGAGTGCTTTACAGTGATCATGAATCTGAGTTCTACAAGCAGCATTTAACGTTCAATATGAATCATTAAAATACGCAAGAATCCAAGAACACTTTCATTTTGTAGTAAAATACAGATCAATATAAAAAAAACTACATGGAAAGTGTAGCAATATACTTTGAATTATATACAACTGACCAAGTTTAATTTCTTCTTGGTATACTCTAACATCGCTTAGTCAAAGGAAAGCTTCTTGTGCAAGGATTAAAGTGGAGATCAGAAACGTCATAATATAGTCTATAACGCTTAATAATATCTATACAAACAACAGATATATACAAGTGAAAAATCGGGCTAAAATTTATGCCGGTGACAAAATGATTGAGGTCAGATATAAGTGGATCAAAATTCTGCGTCGGAAAGGGATTCCAAAATTCGTCTGGGAAAAGGGACAGTTTTATAAGTAGTGGATAAAAAAGGGCATTTGATCACATCTAGAAAAAGATAAAAAAGCGAGAAAAAAAAACAAAAGCACGTAAAAGCAACAAATAAAGCTTTTTAAAGGTGAACGTAAAATAAAATATAACGTGAAACAAAAAATAAAAAAATAAAAGAACAGCCGTACAATTAATTATAATGGAATTGAATCCTTTTTATAGAGAGAAAATGAGGATCCAAGGCTTTGCGTTCTGCCCGGGTCCAATCCAACAGCTGTTTACCCTTTTACGTTTGACGGCCTGGAGTGTCGGCCAATCAGGAATCATCTCAGCGAGCGAGCCTTTGCGACTGCCAGGAGGAGGTGGTTTAAGGCCTTGTGGCGGATCCTTGAGGACGCGTCCGTAACAACCATGCCAGGCAATGGAGGGAGAGAGCAAGTTAGCAGGGAACCCACAACCCCCCAGAACGTGAAAAGAAAATGGCGCTACCCCTTAGGCCGTGACGTCTCATCCCGTCATGGCTCGCGGAATCGTCGAGGGAGATCCATGACGTCACGAACGCGCGTCTGTTATGACGTCATGACAGACCAGCGAAGTCATGACGTCATAAGAGACCATCGGCTGTGACGTCAGAGAAATCCTCGCGATCGCAAGGCCACGCAAGGGTGATGACGTAACAGCTGGCTATGGCTGCGGACGTCACAAGAGGCCTCTTCGGAAGGACAGTTTCTTCTGGGTCTTGTTTCTTGCTTGAGATCTTGAGGAGTGCAGTCAGGCCGCTAAGTTTATTTAGGTGTGTTGTTGAACACGTTAGATTTTTTTTTTTTTTAATAAAAGTTGAAAAAATAACTATTGGGGAGGATCTACATAAAAAATCTGAATATGAATTAGTTAATATAGAACTATTAATGAAATCAAAGGAATTACGCTATATCCCAATGAAAAAAAAAGTTTTTAAAAGTTGATTAACTTTTTATTACAATATTGAATATTTAAGTAGATATGTAACTATAGTCTATTTATTATTTTGTTTAGCTTATCATCATTAAATGATGAAGTAAATCATAAAATTAAATATAGTACTGCTTCTATTAAAAACTAAAAAAAATAAAATGCATGCAATAAGCGACCTAAAGGATAGGTTACGTAAGGTCGAGTCTGAAATCCTCCTTGAATGTCCGAGGAGGAAGGTCACTCAGTCAGCTGATTGCGTCTACGAAAGGTCATAGCTGAAAAACAAATGATCATTAAGGGCGTGAAAATCGGGTCATGGAGATGTGACGCGGTGTTTCCCAGGAGGTTCAAGAGAGCCGATGTGACCTGCTTTGAGAAATCGAAGTGAAATGCCGAGGAGGTCAGGCCACCAAGGTCATCAACGGAGGGGAAAGGGTCGGCTCCTGCAGGAACTTACCCTTTCAACCTTGCGGAGCTGGGGCTTCTGCTCCTTCTCGGTCTCCTTCAGGTCGCCCCAGTCTGGGTCCTCGTTGTCCTTCTTCCACTTGGCGTACTTCTTCTTCTTCAACATGGCACGGAAGTCCATACCGCTGGCGTCTGTCGAGGAGGGCAATGGCTATCTCAAATGGGAAGATATATCGACCAAGGTTTCCTTATCTCAGAGATCCTTAAAGTTGGTTTCCTTATCTCAGAGATGTTTTTTTTTAAAATGAAGTTGCTAATTCGATGCACCTGCTTTCTTCTGGTTTATGCTACTCGAGGCTAGAAAGGTAGAGGGTCCCGTTGCCTTTGCTTACCCGAGACGTAGAAGTCCATCTCGGCGGAATCCTCTCCGTGCTGGTTCGAAACCACCACCTTGTACCTGCCCTCGTCGTTGGGCTTCGTCTTACGGATGCAGAGCGTGACGCAGTTGGTCTCGCCGTCCGTGTGGACCTTGTAGCGACCGCCTTCATTGATCTCGGTGAAGCCCTTGAAGAACTTGATCGAGGGTGGTGGGTTGCCCTCCACGATGAGGTCGATGTAGCCGTTCTGGTCTGCAGGGATTGGAACGAAACGCTGTTACTCGCTTCCTCTCGATTAGACCCGGAACGCAGCGAGTATGCCGCTACAATAGGCCACAGGTATTATAAAAGGTCAAGAAGAAATACACTTCAACCCAAGGGGGAATCCCCGAACCAGCCTGGCCGCTCACCTTCGACGGCCGTGTACTTCTGCTGGACGTCGACGATGGACGGGGGTCCGGGCTGGCCGATGGGGCGCAGCGGCGTGCTGGGCTTGTCCATCTTCTCGTCGTCCTGGACCGAGGGACGACGGACATCGCCGCTCGGTCGACGTCGCTGTTGGTGGCGCGGGCGGCGGCGGGGAAGGGGAGTCGCCAAAGACGGTACGTTAGAACCTTGTCATGGCGGCGGGACGGAGAGATCCACGAGAAAGGTTTCGGGAGGAGGAGGCTCGTTCAGAGGCGGAGGAAAGAAGAAAATGGCGGCGAGAGATAAGGAGGTTAAAGGAGAAAAAGAGATTACGAAAGACAGAAGTGGAAGAGGGGATTTTCTCGTGGATCTCGTCACTCGTAGATGAACATTGGTCTTATTCATTTTAACTTACCTTTAGATAATGAATGAGCAAATTTCAGAGAAATGAAATTGCAATGCGCGAAATGGATTTGAAATTTCGTCATTGTCAAAAAATCACTTAGATTTTCACGATATGAAATTAAGTCTGTTGTACATGAAAGAAGTAACAGAGTACAGGGAAGAGTTGTTTTTTTATATTGAATATAATGTACTATTTTTCTAGATTGACAAAAAAGAACGTTAAACACATCAACACCAACTTAAATGTATAGTCTACGTTCACTAACCATCTACGTTTGACAAATTACTAGTAATCATTCGCTAAACCGAAGATATTTCTTGGATTTGACAAAAAAGCAAATCAAATATATATAGGCATATATACAAAATATGTCAAACCAAGAAAAAAATAAAGGAAAATATATTCAAAATATTTAAAATCAAACATCTAAATTCAAAATAAAACTTCATGGAAAAAACATATATGGTTTCTGGCATCGGTTTAACGAAAATAAACTGCTACTGAACGAAACTACCTTAGACTACAAACACACAATATCGAACACTCGAAAAGCTTTTGTACATATAACAAGGAGGAATAGAAGACAGATTCACAAGAGATATTCTAAGACTTAACTTAAGTAAGTCATGAGTCATTGAGATTTGCAGGCAATCAGTCCTCTCATTCCTGCATGTACATTAACCTGATTTGTTTTTTCATCTTTTAAAATACTGACGCATAATCGTGCTGATAGGACATAAGTACCTTTGCCAATAGAATTATCTACAAATTGCACTATCTATATATTTGTTTTAAAAGTCATCAGGTGAATGTATAACGGTAGTCTTTTGTTCGACGCCTTGTAGATGGAGGATCGAATGGCTTTCAGAGTAGGATCAAGGAGTTTAAGAATCCCGCCGATCCTCCATTCTACCGAAGGCTTTGATGAGGGATGATCAGTGAGAACACTTTTGCGTACTTTTAGGCCTACGAGGCGGCCGCATGCGGGGTCATTTTGTTGGAATAAATGTGCTGGAGCGGCCTCCGTGCGTTGCCATGGCGTTGGGGCTTGAAGTCTTTGACATAAAAGGAGTGACGCGATCTTTCTTTCCCGCCTTGGCAACGCTCGGGAGGGTGTGTGACGTAGCGAGGCAGTAAAAGCAAATAGTGCTTGTCAATCAGTACAATATACGCTTAATCCATTCATTTTTCGAACCACAGGGTGAAAGATGCTTTTTTTTTCGTTCAAGCAAGAATTCCCTTGACGTGAATAATATGTTTCCTGGAAATCAAGTCTAAGAAATCGCAATGCCGTTCGAGATCTGAGAGATGTTGCCATCTGGAGAGGACTTCACTGCGGTTTCCTAGTGCTCATTTTGCGAAATATCGCCAGAATTAACGTTCGGAAAGCAAGAATGATACTTGACATTTAAAGAGAGAGAATAAAAATAAAAATAAATGAATAGATAAAAAATAGTCATGTCTAATCCCCCAAAGCCAAACATCTTTCTCCCTTCGTCGCTGGCTCTACATCAACGTCTACAGCGTCAACAAAGCACTGTGCGTAAATAAGTCATATCTGCGACACGTGCGTTTTCAAGAGCAACTCATTGGCCACTTGGGTACAGAGAATGCAATGCTGGAGAGATGCGCCTCGTGTCATTCCCAAAAAAAGCAAAAAAGATTCCATTATCCCAACCTGGTCATCGTCAAGAATTTCTCCCGGTCTCAAGCGACTCTGTGTTAGCAAATAAGATCACGTGATAATTTGTCTCTGGACTGAAGATTGTGCAGATTAACTTTTTATGATTATTCTTTAAAGATGGAAACGTTAAATAGTAGTCTGTTAGTGCGTTTTTTTTTGTTTTTTGTATTTTATATAAGAAAGAGCAGAAAGCATAGCCAAGAAGAAGAAGGAGGTTGAAATCTAGAAAGAAAGAAAAGAAGGAAAAAACGCGCGCGAACGCAGAAATAAATATTGCAAAAGAGGAAAAAGCGCCAACCGAAATTATTCCAGAGACGGTCAAAATAAGATGAGAGAAATAACGGTTTTTTGTTTTTGTTTTTTTAAATGGCTGTCTTTGGTTTGTTTTTTTAGCATGAGTTTCGTATCATAGTTTTAGAAGTTTAGGAGTATATATTATTTTACAATATTTTTTTCTCTGTTTTGGGTTAAGACATCGTGGAATATATTAAATACAAAATATAATACTGGATTGTCTAATGCTGACCACGCACGGTCAGCTGCTGGAGAATCGGCTGCATCCGTCTGAAGTTTTCGAAATGCGCTGAAAAAGGTGCTCTGTTGTTTTTTAATTGAATTTGGATTTTTCTTTAGAGCTAATTTAGTAGAAGCCTTCGCTTTTTTATCGTTTGTTTTATTTTGGTTTGGTATTTTTTTGTTGTTGTTTTTATTTAATGGGGTTTAGCGTTTTTTTTCAGGTTTATGTAAAAAAGTGCAGCAGGATATAAAGGTAAAGAAAATAAATGTGTTAGACCTAAGATAATTGCTCGGCAAAAGAAAGCCTCAGCCAAATAAAACCGATTAATTACAGCAAATAAGCCATATATCAAAGATTATTTGTCTACAAGTACCCAGCAAACCGATATGGAAAAGGAAATGCTACTGCAAGAATCTTAGGTCTGACTATGAGGCATAAATAAAGGCACGTTCGTGTAAGCCACTAAAGGAATGCTTAGCAACTGGCTAGCGTGACGTCACGGATACGTGACGCCGAGCTAGACGAACGTGCCTGAGCCTAAATACGATCACGCTTTTAAAAAACACTGGAAAGTAGAAAGATTTGTGATTCTCTTTTGTTTAATGGTTGAGATTTTATCAGAAGAAATGTTGGATTTAGGGCACGTTGGGGTGTTGCGGGAATCAAAAGTGTTTTTAATTAAATAAATGCTCACTTTGAAGGAACGAAAAGGTTGAAAAGTCTAGGAAAAGAAAAGAAAAAAAGTAGTGGAAGTTTGAACATAGAACTAATTCACTGATTATGAAGACAAAGATTTTGTTTTGTCTCTTTTTACAGGAACGAAAATAGATAACAAAAGGAAAGAAAAAATAAGAAAAAAGAAAAGATAAATGCTGTTTTATCAAACCACTGCCATTTTTACTTTATGACACTGGTTTTCAGACAGAAAAAAGAAGTAACAAAAACAGAGAAAATTAAGAAAAAATAAAGATAAATATTGAAACCAAATCAAACAATTCAGAGGCATCCTTGAGTGGATGTTTTTCTTAATATTAGTAAGAAAATTGGACAGATAACGAGAAGAATTCAAAATAAAATTTGCGAGACTAAGAATCGCGTCTCACACGTATCAAAGAGGGGGTGGAGAGAGAGGGGGAGGGGGGGGTGGCGGAGGAAAAAAACAAACACAATCCCAAAAAAACAAAAAACAGAGGGACGTAGGGGAGGGGGAAAGAAATCAAGAAAATACAGAAGACAGAAGAAAGAACGATTTATCATTCAAGAGTTTAACATTCAACGTCGACTTTACAGTGTGCCACAGATCTACAGTGTTGCCACATCTGCCGGGCTCACCTGTTTGACTCCCTGCTCGCCTGGCTTAAGTTTCCCCTTGAAGAGAAGAAGTGGAAAAGACATGGTATTATTTACTTAGAAAAGAAACAAGATTTAACAGCAAGATCTGGAAAGCAATTGCCGTGGGCGACTTCTGCGCCGGAGTGTTTAGTTATGGGTCGATCGAACTACTACACATATAAAAAGTTTTAGAAAAAAAAAAAAAAAAAAAAAAAAAAAAAAATGATAATGACAACTCAGCTAAAAGTGCGAGTGTGCAATTGCTGAATAGTTGAAAATAGAATGGAAATGCACCTGAAATGATATACACATATTTACATAAAAGTTAGATGACACGTTATGTGTGGATGAATAAATACACTGTTTTCCGAATGTTAGTCAGGTTAGTTCATAGGCAACTCAGGCTGGAGGCAACGGTAAGGAGTCTCAAACACTGGATGTTTTGCGCTAATACTGAAGGTCATCCTTTGTCAGCAAGCTACCAGAGGGGGTGGGGCCCTCTTTACTTAGCGGGCTACCACAGGGGAATCGGTTAGCCCCACTCAGCAAGCAACCAAAGTAGGCTGGTTATCCGCCGTTTAGCGTGCTACCACAGGGGCTGGTCAGCCCCTCGCAAGCTATGACTTGTGCCAGTGTCGACAATTTGAGCTCATATGTTTGTATGTTTGCATACATATATACATATACATATACATATACATACACAATTACTTTCATATATATATATATATATATATATATATATATATATATATATATATATATATATATATATATATATATATATATATATATATATATATATACACACACTCATACACATACATATGCCTGTAGATGCCCCGCACGGACTCCGCATCCTCCGGGCAGCAGCATATGAGGCGCCACCTTGCCGACAGTGGCACAACCTTAACTCTTACATCATACCCAAGCACATGCCTATGTATCGCCTATAAGAACATACATAAACAGCAGCTTCTGAGACGGTCATTTATTTTATATTCCAATTCTGAGAGGGCCACAGGCAATAACATTCATTGTACTGGAAGACATTTAGGGCTAGAGTCCAATGTTACTGTAGGGACAAGTCACCTCTATGTTACCTTGCTCTCCTCAAACACTTCTCCGGGGCGTAATTTTCGCTGTCCCTACGAAATAAAAGTTTGGAATTCAATAGACTCGAGCCGTGTACGTCGGTGTTCGGTTCTTCTGTGGAGGACTGAGTTCTGTGAGTGAATTCGTGTGAAGAACGTGTGTTTCAGGGTGTTATTTGTGTCTTATATGAAAGGTGTTACGTTAAGTGTGAAGAAGGTGCTTTTTAGAGTGACATCTGTCTTGGAGAAAAGGTGTTAAGTACTGGTGGTAAAAAATAAGGCAAGTTCTGAAAATCTGACGTTACGTAGAAGTTTTATGTAGTGTAACACGCTGAATGTTAGTGAGGATGTTCACTGTATATTCTTGTTGTAGCTCAGACTTACGCAAGGCTCTTTAAAGCGATCGAATACCGAAGGGGTTTTACTTGCAATCATGATTTAAGTGAGCAGTGTGAGCGACTGGCTTCCTAGGCTTGTGTGCATGTGAGGCCTGCATGGAGGGAGGGGCGAGCTATGGCAGCGATGGTTTGGCAGTGGGGTTTGGGATCAGGGGGGATGGGGGGAGGGGGGCAGGGGGCAGGGGGAGGTCGCTTTGGCTTTGGGGCGTCTTTGGTCCAGCGGTTGGGAGGCGGGGCATCGGTTAAGGGGCCTTTAGATCGGGGTTGAACTGTGTTCTTGTTATTTCAGCTTTAATGAACTCTCTTCATTCGGGAATCTCTTACCTTCTTCCATCTGTGTGTTGTATGCGAGCGCATTTATATATATATAGTATATACCATGTATATATATCATATATATGTATATACTTGTCTAGTGTTCCGTCGTGTACCTCAGCACGGGCTGTGTGTTGCCTACAGGTGCCATAGACGCTTGCCTCACCTGCTTAGCCAAAGGGG